TGGGTGCAGTCTCATGTAAGTGGAGGTTATTCCCCTTCTCATACTTATAAATTGACAAAAATGACTTTTGGGTAGACATATTCCACTTCAAAAACTAAACGTCTGCAAAAACCTTTACGATTAATGTCACCTAAAAATATCTTTAGATCAATATTGTTACATATATAAATATTATATACCTATTTTAAACATATGTATATGTAATTCTTATATGAGAAAATTCATGAGTATACCTATGGCAAAACTAGAGGAGATAATAAAATTATTGTTAAACCTAATAAAGAAAGAGATGGCTAGAGATCTTGATACTATGAGCTCTTTCCGACGCAAAAGTAAGCCACGTGATCGACAAGTGGAAGACAGCACTATATAAGGTGAAATATAATGCTTTAATGAAACTTTGTGAGATTATTGGGTTACGTGTATAGAGTATGCCTGATTTTTTCGGATTTTTGCAGTATTTTTTTTCATGTATTTGTTTATAATATGTGTATTTTTATGTCCTTTTCTCCTTTTGAGTAGTTATTCATTTTAAACAAGCATACTTACATATCCAATGAAAAACAACTAATAAATAAGCACTTCTAAAAAACGGAAAAACAGTAAAATTAAGCGGGCGCGGCCACCGCGGGTCAACGACCGACCGCGCCCGCCAGCCGTTGAGTGAGTAGGTACACAGCTCAGCTGACTCCTTTGATTCCACACAATACAATCACATCGTCTTAGATGCCTTTATTGAAATAATTAGCTGTATACGTGTAATATATACTCTGTATACGTGTTTTAAAAGAATAATTATTTAGTACCCAAAAGGAAGAAAGGACTTAAAATATAACAAAAAAAAAACAACAACAACCTTTGCAGTAATGTGTCGTCAAAATATTTTTTTTTTATTTACTTTGTCGAGCTACCTTCGAAATGCTATTATTAGACCAATAATCTTTTTTATGTCACCTTTTTAATTATGATTTTGGTGTCAATTCTGACATGATTCTCTAAACTTAAAACTATATTTAACATCAGGCTCTCTTTTTCATTCTGTATAGAGTTAAGTTTAGGTTTAGAGAATCATGCCAGAATCAACACCATTACAAGGGCGGATCCGGGGGGGGGGGGGGGGGGGGGGTCATGGGGGTCATGACCCCCACATGATTATAAAGCAGGTAGATACGCGACCGAATTCAGACCTAATACGGAATTTGAGACTTAAAGATGTAAGTAATTTGACAAGCTGTCATTAAAAGTCTAGTAATGTGGGCCACTGGCCACCGCCTTAGATGCGTCGTTAAAAAAAAAGAGCACATAGTAATAGGACGACAAACAGTGGAGAATCCATATATTTGATGTACATCAAACTTTGTACTTACGAAATAAAAACAAAAATAATATTACATATTATTAAAATAACAAAAAAATACATTGGAAGCACCAAAAGACAATTAAGACATCACAAAATGAGCGTGAGCAGTAAATTTTACAAATACACACCAAAAAATAGTATTTATGTCAGTAAACATTGGAGTTTAAAATTGCTTGCGCGCAGACACTGTAAAAATAATATGTTAATAAAATATTTTTACTTTATTATATTTAAAATAGAATCATGAGTAGATTGACTAATTATTGATAGCACTCTATTTTCTTGAACAGTTAAATTCCCAATTCACTATGAAATTTTGCTAATAAAAACACAATAGTCACTTCCTAGAAAATAGTTATAACACTAAAAATCTGTTTTGTGTAATTAAAGTAATAAGCAAATTCTTATTATATCTTAACTGGTCATTCTAACCTAACGATGATCAAAATGCCAGGGTCCTATATGAACTTGATAATTATTTTTGACAGTTTTTGGCATGTTTTGCCCCCTTATCATCTGTCAATGTTACAAAAAAGCCCCCGCAATCAGTATACTATCAGGTGGGAGAAAATCTGTGGAGTTCTATTTGTCTCAAACTTACCATGTAATTGTAATCAGATAGGTATGTCCACATAACTACTGCGTTACTTATCACAAGAGTAATTCTATTTCAGTATACATTTTGTAAAAGTATAAAAAAATAGCGAATCAGGAATATTTGTAGTTTTTCTGTTATAATTATTATTAATAAGTGTCTTTTAAGTAAAGATATTTACTTTTTACAAAGCAAACAGAACGTCACAGAGTATTCGAAGATTTCTATAAAATATGGTGTAAAATAATGGACAGAGTACAAACGTACTTAATATATAACAGGAAACGCAGAAAATTAATTTACCCAGACACACACAACAACAAAAATGTATGGACACATTTACACTCGTACAATTTTAATTTTACATACAGAAAATATACATCTGGTATTATTATTAAGAGTATGCATTTAAGGTTAAAATTGTTTCTTTAAATTTGATCCCGGAGGCGAGTACATATCGCGATAAGGTCAGCCGGGGTAATTGTAGCCAGGGGGGCAAATGTAACAAACTTATTTTAAAAGCGAAACAATAACGAGTTATTCGAAACAGCTGCATTTTGCCACCATAGTTACAATTGCCCCGGGTGATCTTACTAGTTTCGTGAAATGCAACAAACACAAGTCTCAGAGCAACTTGTGAAGTAAAGTAAAAAAAAAATATCATAAACTCAATTTGTCATATTCATTTCACTCAATCAATTTTGCGACGCGTACTCAAACCTTAGATAGGAATGTCACAATTACAAATATTAAAACTTCATCTTTTGAATTGTCAAACAACATAAAGAGAGAGATATAAAGGACAAAAAAAAACAGTCAAAATTTCAAACCCATTCCACAATTACCTCGTTTACACTGTTCTAAACTTTTTAACAATTTTTTTTATTTTTACTATTATTAGGCAAGTCTTTTGAGCCACTTCTCTATGGAATGGGCGTTTAGTTTTTAGACTTAAGTTTGCTTCTGCTGGCTTTTCTGCTGTGCCCTAACGAATTCGGGGTAATCAATGTACCCATCTCTGTTGTGATCGTCCATATTAAGTATGGGATCTATTAATTTGACTAGCTCGTCGTCGTTGAATATTTTCTCGCCCACGGGAGCAGAGCCAGGCTGTTCCTGCTTATGGCCTTGCTCTGTTTTCCCGCCAAAACGCCCGATGACACATAAAAAAAACAATAAAAACCTCAAATGAATGAATGATAAAAAGCACGACTAGAATAGAAGTGGGATTCATACGATTGGCGAATGAATGGAGTAGCAAGTACCTTCATTCTAAAGGAAGTTTAAGATTCAGAGACGTCAATAAAATTTTAAGTCGCATGCTGTCTTATTCTAACATAATTACACAGAAAGAGACGGCATAACTTTAATAACACTTAAAATGTAATTAACGTTCCTAGGTGTGGCCGTAAAAGTTATATTAAATGAAAAATAAAGCCTTTACTATTTACTATATGGCAACAAACTCTATTATTTATGGTATTAGTAAGCTATAGTATTTCCCACGTCTACACTAAAATGATAGTAAAGTCGAATTTACATTGGCTGATTTTGTGTACAGCAAAGTTATCAATAGTGTAAAATTATAATATACTAGCTGACCCAGCAAATGTTGTTTTGCCATATAAATTATTTCTAGGGAATTTCTTTAAAAATAGGGGTTTGGTGATAGAAGGTTGATAATTTGGGGTTGTATGTATTTTTTAATGCCACATTATTAAAACATAAAAGAAAAATATTGTGTCCAAAAAATCAAAATAAATTATAGGGATGGACACCCCTTATCACTTAGGGGTATGAAAAATAGATAGTACCTGATTCTCAGATGTACTGAATATACATTTAAAATTTCATAAAAATCGGTCAAGCCGTTTCGTTTTATATATAAGATATATATATTAACATATACTTAGTTCTGGAATTTATGAAAGTGAAATGCTTAAAATAAAAATAGAATAAAATAGTAAGTTTCCATAAATGTATTGCTGTATTCGTCCAATCGGCATGGTGGTTGCAGTAACAATATGAAGTCAATAGTTTCCGAAATAATTTATAATAGCACTATAGCAGGAACATAACCAGAAGATAAAAATCTATTATACAGACTTATAATAACTAAACAGATTGAGCCAATGTAAATCGAGCTTTAAATATTTTAATCAAAAATGTATTTAATTAATACATTTTTATAAATAATGTTGTACTTTGTAATTGTATTACGTATTCTTTTCAGTGTACTTGTTTGTATAAATGAATTTAGCATATTATGCACTTTATTGTTAACCACATAAGAGCTCTTTTCAATAAGCTAGACGCTGGACAGTCACTTTTTGACATGAAGCAAAAAACATACACTTACAATAAACACAAAGCGAACCAATACAACATATAATTATTTAAAAACTCCCTCGTATAAATAATTCTAGTAAATTTACCTTCATCGTCAACTATGGGAATTGAAAAATTTATAATTAAGTAAAATATTTTTAAGAAGTAATGTTTTTTTTTAATATATTCTCGTAGAAGGTGAATGTTAATAACTCACGACCAAACAACACTGTCAAATTGACATGTTGTCTCGGTCATTTGTTGTAGTAAAGAAAGGGACATCATTCATTTTATTAACTGAGAACTGAGATTTAAATAGTTTCTTTCCATTATTGTACTCTTAGCACGTACCAATATCGAAGTTGAATAGTTTGCAAGTGCGACATGTCATTGTCAAATGTGTATTGATGTTTAGTTCTCGTTACGTACTTTGTGTGGTGTAGATTTTCTAAGACTACTCAAAGAAAGCTTCGTTTTTGATAGTTTATCGATAAAATTACGTAAAACCATAAATAGACGAAATTAAATTTCATTTGAAGTTCGCTATCGAAAGTTCGTTTCGGAGAAAGAGAGTAGACACCAAGGTTTTAACATGTCATTTGAAGACACAATTAAACTGAGTGAGATGTAGGCATATCAGTACTCAAGAGCTTTGATGTATCCCAGTTTTGAACTGAAAATGACAGTGTTAAGGTCTGAAATAGTTTAACCACTTACCGTGCCAATGTATCAGGGATTTGATCAACTCGCAGCCGTCCAGCTTGTTATTGTTATCAGCATCATGCATCTTGAAATAATGGAACTGTAGTTCCTGTTCCGACATCTTGGATGTATCAATGGGCACATCCATATGCTCTTGAATGTGTCTGTAGGAGAGAAATTTGTTTTTCATATCTACCTTTACAATGACGGCTGTCGCGCATGAATCCGCCGCTAGAGGCGCTTATGTAGCGTGAGGTCTCCGAAATGTCAAATGTTATTGCTTGTGGGTTGACTACGCGGGTTTATTTCTAATTAAAATAATGTGAATATTATAAATAAATAATAAATAAATATTTCTAACACTCACACCAATTAGCCTAGCCCCAAAGTAAGCACTGTATGGCTTGTGTTATGGGATACTAGGGTATACGGATAGAATACATATACAGTACATATATAAGTATATTTATATAGAAATACATATTAAACATCCATGACTGGAGTACAAATGCTCGTATTCATCACACGAAACACCTGTCCCCACCGGGATTCGAACCCGAGACCTCTCGAGTCGGCGACACCATGAAACCCGGCGTACAAACCACTCGACCACGGAGGTCGTCATATTTGGTAATAACTACGATTAATTAATTATGCAAATTTATAATTTATTAGGCAAATTTAAAAAATCTTTCAGTGAAATATCCGAACGCTCAATAAAAGTCTTTCGAAGGTAGCTCGACAAAGTAAATAAAAAATAAAACATTATTCCGACGAAGCATTCCTGAGAAGGATGCGAAACGTCAATAAATAAATAAATTCAGTGCATATTGTACGTAAAAATCTAAGAAACAAATATAAAGAAGAGTAGACGAAAACGCGCGGAGAAACAAGTGCAAAAAGGAAAACAAAAATAGCCATACTCACTCTCTTTCGTGTGCGATGTTGGCAGGATTCAGGAGTTGAGGATCTGAAACCAAATTATATTTTAAACTAGCTCACTCGGCGAACATTTAGCGAAAAAAAATGGTTTTTATTTCCTAAAGAGTCAGTTTACAGTACAAGTTGAGACAACCCAGAAATTTAAGTTGAAAAAAAAATGAAAATGGTTTTTATTTCCCAAAGAGTCAGTTTACAGTACAAGTTGAGACAACCCAGAAAGTAATAATTAATACTTGTATTGGGATGCCTTGCTCAGTGCAGTTAACAAATTTTGGGCACTTAACTAATTTCTTAAAGTATCAGGTGTATGTAAGTGTGAGTGTATCAATGTGTGTGTGTGTATGTGTTTGTCTGTGTGAGATAGAGAGTAAGTGCGTGAATATGTGTACAGTTGTATATATATTTAATTTCCAGTACGACCATTATGTTATTCTTTTTAAAATTAATCGTGTCTTCATAGTTAAGTGTTTTCAGCCAATTAACTAGAGTTGTTTTACATTTATATGACAACATAGGATATATTTTGTATCGTAATTTTTTGTTTATAGTATTATAAATGAAAATACTTTGAGAGGGATATTGACGTTAGACTTTAAGTTAAGTAATTATTTGAAAAAATAAGTAGTATTGCGCTTATAAATTGACATCATTCAAGTTGGATCAAACTGCAGACGGGGTGCAAATTGAATTAAATTCGGTTAAGTAGTTCAGGGGGCCAATCGCCTAACGGAAATGCTTTGGAAAACGCTAACGCTTACGATTTTATTTTATTATTTCTAGCCGCCTGAGGTATTCAAATGCCTCGCGCTCTTTCTTTTTCTTTTGCATTGGTAATAACAATATTAAAAAAATGAGCGTGAGGTATTCGACAACCTCAGGCGGCTAGAAATAACAATATAAAATCGTAAGCGTTAGCGTTTCCCAAAGCATTTCTGTTAGGCGATTGGCCCCCAGGAGTCCATCACGGACAAACAACCAACAAGTTTTGTTACAAATGAAAATGTTTTTTTAATGATGTAATGTAATATTTTTTAAATCTATACCTACATTATTAAAGTCTCCGAATTTCGTAAGCGCGATGCAAGCCACCGGCAGCGCCATCTCTTAAGAAGGCGATGCATTTTCTCCATTTAGGTGAGGTTTACTTACCTCCATGCCCGCCATGTCCTCCATGCTGCTGGTGTTGGGGCTGTCCTGGCACTTGCACGTTCACCTGTTGGGGGGGCTGTTGGAACTGTTGCTGTTGGGGCGGAGGTGGGGGCGGCTGATACTGTTGCTGCTGTTGGTATTGTTGCTATATGGAGGAAGGCAAATTCATATTAAAACCCAAAACTGAGTATGAGCTTTATTCTTCACTTAGGGATTGAAACGATACGATACTTTTCTTTCGATACCAAGTGCTTTTAGCATCGATACTTTAGAACTGTGTAACAAGTAGTATAGTGAAGTAAGTACTTGTATCGGTACTCGGTCGGTCACTCACTGAGAAGTGTCAAAAAACTCGATAGGCAGAATATTTACTCTATGGCAAGGTGTATAGTTGGATTTCTTTTCAGTTGGCAGCCTTGCGTATATATGTATTCCAATTTATTCATTCGGTTATTCGTTAATCGCGTGGTGAGAGCCTATAGAAATAAATATTAAAGATAGAAATAGAGAGAGAAATTGTGACTGAATTTGTAATTGTAATATCGTTCGTCAAAATTTATCGATACGATATCAGTATCGAATGAAAAGTATCGATACTTTTCATTCGATACCGAGTAGGCATCGATAATTTATGACCGATCGACCGACCGAGTAAAGTATCGATACCTAAATGGTATCGTTTTATCCCTATCTTCACTTACACTTCTGGAGAAAGGTAAAAATAAATGTAACATTGAGCAAAAATTTTATTACCTACCTACGCAGTTCTGAAGCTGATTTATTAACGTCTTACTTACTAACCTCTAAAATTTTTTAGTGTTTTTTTTTATATAAGGTATTTGACAAGTTTTAGAAAACAACTTCATGTTAATTACTAATGTTTATGGAGTTCATAAAAAATAATATTTATAATTCTGTTCTGTAACTCAGTAAAAAACTACATTAAAAAATTCATAATCATAATCAAAATCATTTATTCAGTTTAGGCTGTTACAAGCACTCATGAATGTCTAGAAGCTACGCCATCGGTTCGTAAATCTACGGCGGGAGACCTTGTACTTACAAGAACCGGCAAGAAACTCAGCAAGGGCTGTTTTTTTCTCCCTGTTTTATTATTTACAGAGTTGTCAAATTGAAAAATGACTTCAGAGATGATTCATGAAGTCACCTTTCATTACACAGTGATTAAATATACATTAATTGTTAACCTGTATTTTGATTGCTGTGTCATACAGTATAAATACAAATAGTGTTATTTATTTTAAGTGTGACTAAACATTAACTTCAACATTAAGGAAGTTAGGGCAGACTCATCAATCAATCAATTTTCAAGTTGCCGTGAAAACGTTGCTCTGGACATTATGGCGTCTCCCTAGTGTGTGACGTCACACGACTGTCATTAAAACGTCAAACGATACAATGTAATGTCACTTTGGCCGGAAGTTTACTAGCGTGTGACGTCATTTTAGTCTTGGCCAATTCCAGGTGTTTTCGGTCTCGTGACCACGGAGCAAAAAATCATTTCTAATAAATAGAAATGTTATTATTTAAATAAAACTAGTTTTTACGGGCTACCTTCGAAAGACTTATATTGAGCCCGAAGGTAGCTCGACAATTTTAAATAAAAAATCATTATTCTGACGATGCAGACCTGAAAAGGCTGCGAAACGTCAATAAATAAATAAAGTTTCGTGCATTAACCCGTAAAAACTAGTTTTATTTAATGAGTGATGTGCGTGAAAACCTAAGAAACAAAAAATGTTATTATTTATTTGTCGATTTCACAATGGTAATAAATCTCGAGTTACCCCGTGTTTCGGGGGTCTAGTACCCATTGGACCCTCCTAATTGGACCTTACCTACAAAAAAGTGCCCGTTCGACCTCCTATCAAGAACATGGTGCCCATTGGACCCTCAAAGACGTACTTAACGACACAATGGGAGCTATTGGAGCTCTTAACTATTTGGCTAATTCTTTTGGAACGGTAAAGTACAGTCGTGTAGTAAAGTAACATTCTAAAAGACATAAAAACACAAAGGTTATAAATCTAAGTATTTAATCAACATATTTATAAAATTCCAAACACTCATCATCAGTAACAAACCAATATAAATATTTACATAAAATAAAATAATCAAATCACAGATTTTTTACTTTAGTTTTAAAGCCAATAGAAATTATTTTTTATCAAATAGCTTAACTAAATTATAAAATAAATATGGTTTGTTATATCACACAGATTAAGCACAATTATTATATATTGTAAATATTGATAAAATAAATAAAAGAACAAAGGTTATAAATGTAAATATTTAAAATCAACATATAAAATTCGAAACATCAATCATCAGCAACAAACCATATAATATTATAATCAAATCACAGATTTTGTTATTTTACTTTTAAAAAGAAATGTTTTTATATCACTCAGATTAACTACTTAACTTTTTTAGCACATTTAATTCATCAATTAAAATTTATAACAAATTGCCCAATACAATAATGAATGAAAATAATTACTTGACATTTAAAAATAAATTAAAGGAATTTCTAATTAACAAATGTTATTATATGAATATTTTAATGATAAGATCAGTAATTATTAATGTACATGTACAAATAATTTATTTAATTATTTATTATATTTTATATTTAATTTTGTGAAATTATTAATATTATTATTTATAAATAAATCAGATCCAATCCAATTATAACAATCAAAAATAAACAAATGAAACAATCTCTAACATCCAATTTAAATTTTACTATTAGTGTTGTTCTTCTGAGAAGCGTATCCTCTCTTCTAATAACCAATTGCGTGCCCGACGGGGTCCATAATGATCATATTTATATAAGTACCAACCACCCACTGTACACATTATGGTTGCAATAAATGATTTGAGTTTGAGTTAACTATTGAAGCACAATTATTATGTATTCCAATGTTACATACATTTTATAAAAAAATGTTTTCTTATCATATTTTTACAATTAACGAGAAATTGCTTATTATAAAAACATACTTTAACAAAAGTATATGGTTCAAAAACGGAAGTCAGTTTCCGGCAGGGACGAAATATAAATAATTTGATGGTTTGTATAACATAAATAGATACTTTGATTTTTTTATTCATTACCGATTATTTTAAAATCGTGTTTAATAATTAAACAACTTTGGAAGTATGCTGGCCACCCTATCTTAGTAACGTCATATTTTTAGTGCGTGTTGGCTTATAACGTCAATTTAATCACTATGGCAAATGTCAATCAGTCCAGTCGTGGATTATTATCAGAATAATTATTATCACTGCTTTTGTTACACATTGAACATAATGCATTTGATGCTTGGCAACAAAAAATAGATAAATAAACTTGCCTTTTGCAAATCAATTATTTTAATATTTTTTATATACCGGGATAAAATAAAATTCTAGTTTTTTAAAGAAATAATAACTAGAAAAAAATCCACGCGGACCAGGCATTCTAGTTTTTTGTCAAACGATTCACATTTAAGTGCGCTGCATCTCATAAAAACTTGGAGTCTGCCGAAAGACCCACTACCAACCTCCATAAAAAATTTAACAGTCTTCTTTTGTAAAACATTATAAATTACCAAATTAAATATTTAAGACACATATGTGAGTAATTTTTCTAAGCAATGGCCTACGATTGTAAGATTATTTTCTAGCTGCAACATAGGTCATAAATCGGAACGAGACAGCAATATTTCTCTCTCTCACATATGAGATCGGCGTCATCCTTTTGTTTAAGCGCAGAGATTGCTTGGGCTTATCTATAACCTGCCTTTCATCAGGTGCTTAAGAGGAGTATAATTGCCGATAAAAACACTCAATCTCCCTCAGAATTTCAGTCTTAGATCAAAAGATGATGTCTTTGCAAAATCCACCGTCATGTTGCTTAGATTGCCTAGATCTAAGCTGTTTTAAGGAACTTGGCATCAATCGAACTTTGTTCGATTTGAAAGGCGTTGTGGATTTGGTGTTGCGCTGTAAGGGTATTTATTGGTCAGTGTACGATCGCCCTATTGAGTGAAACCTTTTTACATTAATGATCATTAATGTAATTAAATTTAAAATTAATGTAATTAATGATCATTCCTTTAAACCTAAAGCACAAACATATAAAATGACCTTTAAAGAAAAAAAGGTTTTACAATATTTACAAAAATAAAAAGATATTGAAGTATTATCATTGTCACTTGCACCCTTATAACCCATAGAATAAAAATACATGTCAGTAGTGCAATATTTGGTTTTGGCTCCTTGTCAATACGAATAAAATAAAAATAAACATTATACAAATTAAATTTTAATTACTTTTGATTCACTTTTTATTTTCTAAATATCTCCCTTATGGGATAGGTATTGTACGAGTACCTTACTAAAAATCCAAATGTTTAAAAAAATAGCTTTTCTTAAAGGTTACTATCATCTGTCTGCGTCCAGTATTTATAGAGCAATAGACGAAAAACAGTTTTTTTTTATTTTTCCTGATAACTTACTTTTATGTAGTTATCTTTTTATTCTCCGGGGACGGCGAAATATCGTTAATTCGAAGAAAAAAGGTAACCTGATTTCTTTATAATTTGTTTAGGACTACTTACTGGTTGGAGTCAGTACTTACACAGTATTTAGTTAGTGGCTTTATAATACATACTATTAATTTTATTTTTGTCTGCAATTTTCTACATGACTGTACTGTGCTTAACAACACTGTTAATAAGGTCCAACTGGCAGTAGGGTATAATCTTGAAGGTCCAATGGGCACTTAAAAAGAGGTCCAATGGGCACATTGAATATAAAATTTTTAAGGAGGTCCAATGGGCACCAAAAAAGAGGTCCAATGGGCACATTGAATATAAAATGTTTTAAGAAGGTCCAATGGACACCAAAAAAGAGGTCCAATGGGCACTTTTTGCTTTTGGGTCGAATCTTGAGGGTCCAATGGGTACTAGACCGTTTCGGGAGGCAAGCTAAGCCGTTGGTCCCGGTTTCATCTGCAGTCGTTACCCAATCACCCATCATATCACCAATCCGCCCTGGGCCCGCGTGGTAGGGACATGAATAGGCTGATAATGATGATAGTTTATAATGTACTTACTTGCTGTGGAGGCGGCGGCGGCGGCGGCTGGTTATAATTCTGCAAATAACATTAACAGTTAAATAAGATATAATGAGATTCAACTAAGAATAGGACCGACTGCGCGCCATATTGTGACGTCATACAAAAAATAAAGTATATTTAGATCTGAGAAGAATATTAAACAGTGGTTTAGAAAAATGAACAGCATTTTATTTATTTTAGGTTTTGTGTGAGCGTCCAAGGCTGAGACTTATAATGTTAATCATTTCATGCTGAAAACAGTATTTTGTATACTTTATTTTTGTTCAACAGTAAAAAGTGTAACGTAGTGAAAAACAGAACAGTACTGTTAACAGAAAAACAGTATAATACTGTTTTGAATAGTATAGTTGGCAACCCTACCCTGAATACTATTAAAACACCAGGTTATTACTTTCACTTATGAGAATCTACACCCTGGATATAACACTTAATTTTGCTTTATATATGGCGTAATTACCATAACATCAAAAAAAAGGACTGTGCTTAGATATACTAAGAGAAACTAAACATATCTCTCATTCCAAGTAGTCCTGTCTAACATGACCACCGAAACGGGATATGATAAAGCGATATATTGGCATTAACTGTCAGACTACTGTCAAACTCCACTGTAGTCTGACAGTTAATGCCGATATATCGCTTTATCATATCCCTTTCCGGTGGTCATGCTAGAGGGGCTGAGGCCTAAGCACGAACTTTGACAGCTCCATAAGCGTATTGCATTGTCATAGCTTCAACAAAAACTAAACATCTTCGAGATGTAAGTGGAATTCTTTCGGTCGCTCACATGTTCCCTCCTTCCTGCAATCTGGGGTCCTTTAAGAGAGGCGCGAAGAAGCATTTATGCAGGCCGGCAAGGTGAGGATGGTTGGTATAGCAGTTTATAACTCCTGTAGCAGCTATCTTCGCGTTTGAACTTTATCACCACTTAACTTCAGGTGGGGTAGAGAGTCATTTGCTTACCTCGCTATAAAAGAAAAGGAGAACAAACTGGCTCCTTTCCACACAAAACTTTATGATGACAATACGATTAAGGATCTGTCAAAGTTTGTACATGGCCTTTGGTATTATAATGATCACTGACTTACAGTCAGTACTTTCCCTGAGTTAATGAAGGATATTTTGGTTCAATTTAACCTTATATTTCAGATAAGTATAAGAACTCGCTCTAGATATTAGAATGTCCACTAACAAAATTAGTTTCAAAACCAAGCTACAAAGCTTTTTAAAGGAACAAGCAGTCTAACTTAAATGTTAGTTGTCATTATTATGTATTTCTTTAGTATGTATGTTTATATACATACATAATGTATGTGTATATGTGTGAATTTATATGTATGGTTATTGATATGTAAGTACTTATTTATGTATGTGTAATTATGTATATGACTACTTAGTACCACTATTTATCCACAACACTCTATGGTTGACTGGTAGAGAATGCCTATGGCATTAAGTCCACCTTTGTACACTTGTCTAAATAAATAAGTAAAAAAAATCTATAAATAATTAAAAACCTGGCAGTACTTAACTAATAAAAATTATCAAAGTCAAAGTTAAGAACTATTTTAAATTTTTCTCGTAAATAAAGTTTAACAATATAAAAAATATTTTTTACTTACTTGCGACTCCTAAAAAAAAAGAAAAATATTTAAAAAAATAATAATAAAAAATTTATCCAATTCTTCATTATGTTGTTTCTCTAATAGTTCTAGATATCATATTGTGTCATATTAATGAGCCATCCACTTAATGGACTGGTCTTGTTTTTATAAAACACTCAATTAAATTAAACCTTGAATTATTTGATAACAAATGTATTATTCAGTGTTAAAGATGATCTATAAGCAACATTATGAATATTATAGTTATATAAAGAACTTTACTTTTAATATACGAGTTGAGACCCATCACAGCAACTAGAGAATATATTCTAAAGTTTGTTATTGTTTAATGGAATAGGTTATTTTAGAAAAATGTCTAATATTGTTGATAAAAAGTTCCTCTGAACCAAAGTTTATTTGTTTACTCGGGCTGTAACATTTGTGTAACTTTTATCGCTATATTCTAGGTTAATTCTTCTCCCATTCAGTTGTCTATTGCCTGTGTTATTTTATTTTTTTATGAGCTGGTAATTATGTAGTTCTGCCAATGATGATCATTTACAAAAAGTCAGTAGGAATAAATACATTATTTCCATTAACAATAAGAATTACAAAATATTGAAGTCCTCCATAATTAAATTTTATTCATATCTCAGTAAATTATTCAGAATCCAAATTTTATTGCTATTTATAATACTATATTGTTTTAAACTTTTATGGTCACTAACAGTATAGTAATTTAAGTTATTTACGGAATCGTTACCATGCAATTAGTAAATTACAATGCATAATATTATGTCGTTAGTAGGTCGTTATAATGTAGTTTCCTTTAATTCACTAATATGTTTTTATTAAAAATGCCCACATGGTGTATCAGGATTTTCAAAATAGCCCTTGGAGCAATACTACTTGGGCACCACTGCTCTAGTTGCTGTGATAGGTTTCAACTTGTATATAAAAGTAATGTTCTTTATATTTCTGTCTTTGATAAGCAAAGTTTGAAAAAAATCTTTGAAACCTCTGACCTTTTAAAACTTTAATTAGCTAAAAAATGTATTTACCTGATAACTTTGAGGTGGTACACCTGGTGCCACCTTCTGCTGGTACTGCTGAGATATCGTACACTGCAGAACAGCGGCTAAAAACAATACCCTAATCATATTGTCACCTGAAAAAAACATTACCAACAATCAATAAATATTAAAGCAAAGAACACAAATTAAACTTCGCTATATTTAAAATTAAGTATGTCTATACACTAACTATAACTTAAAACACATAAATGCATACGTAACTATAAACAAAATTGCTTGCAAAAGCAAAAATTCGCCACGATACAGGTTGGAATATTAAAAAAGTGAACAACTCTGTTCAAGATGGATATAGAAAAGTGTGGCTAATCAATTTCATCTGTTTTAAACGGTACGTGGATATACGCGATAGTACGCACCTTATCGTGGGCTGTTGATAAAATAAATTCAGTTTGATTTCAACAAACGTTTCACTCTTCAAGAATCACCAACTTTTCGAATCGGTATACCTGCCAAAATAACATAATATACACGTCAGAAGAATTTTGACACTGACAGTTGCGTTTTGATACTGCAAGCTAGCCACGTGTAATTATGAGGGTGCTTCGCTTTGAATATCTATAGGTGCTTCGTTACAAAGACGCTCATTCGCATTAACTTTGGTCTCTTACCGCCAATTCGATAGATTGTAATTTTTAGGTTAATCTAAAATGTGTTTATGTGTTGTGTTTATTTTTATTGTTCATGTTTTTTTCGAATGCTTTTTGATAGAGTTAATAAATGGCAGCATTTAAATCGAAACTTTGTTTTATTTCTCAATTCAATATTACACATGACAATTCATAATAATGGTATCGATTCTGGCGTGAATCACGCCGCGTGATTCTGGACCAGCAGTGGGCGGTCCTTAAAGATGCGCGGGTTCGGTATTAATTTTACGTAAGTATAGGTATGGACTGTATATATTTTGCGGATTTTGGAAATGGCTGACGATTTGAATCAAAAGAAAGTGCGAAAGATAGAAATTTTGTGCACTTACCAGTAAGGAAGCAGGGTTCAGGAAAGCAGCAGCAAACACAAAAAATGTTATAGTTTCGGATAGCATATAAGCACACTGTTGTAGCACTGCGGAGGGATAACTCTGGAACAACTTATACGGGCGTGAGTGGCGCGAGAGGCGCGAGAGGCGCGTGCGGCGCGTGCGGCGGTTCGATGACGAGTTTGACGAGAGAAAGTTAAAAGACAAAAATGGCGGGCGGCTGCATGGACGGCCGGCCTCGCGGGTGCGGTGAGCAGTGGGGAGGGGGGAGACAACAAACGCGGAGCGAGAAAGGGAAGGAAATAGGATGAGGCGATAGGAGAAAAGGAGAGAGGACATTGGACTAGGATCGCCATATAAGGGCACAAAATTATCCACGCACAAACCGCCAAACCACTAAACTTAAAACTAAATTTAGCATCAGTCTCTCCTTTTCATTCTGTCTGTATAGATAATGACAGGGATGCACTGTTGTCAAATTTAAGTTTAGCTTTAGAGAATTATGCCAGAATCAACATCAATAGCTATTTTATCAAGATAAAAGAATAACGTTATTGACTGTCATCAAGACGTTGGCATGTATTCTCTATACGTTAGGCCGTATACAGAAAGAAAGCCGAAAGCCGATCGCTTATCGGCGCCGATCCTTCCTACATAAAGGAAGCCGATTAAAGCAGATCAAGCAAAATGTCTGACTCATCGGACGATGATTTGGTTTTGTTAGAAAATATTTATTTAAAAATGCGAAAAACAGCTATACATCCTATAAATAGAAAAAGAAAACGTTTCGGAGAATACCATCATTTATTTGTAAAAAAAAAAAATTTGATGAACAAAGATTTTATATAAAACTAGTTTTTACGGGTTAAGCTCGACAATTTTAAATAAAAAATCATTATTCTGACGATGCAGACCTGAAAAGGCTGCGAAACGTCAATAAATAAATAAAGTTTCGTGCATTAACCCGTAAAAACTAGTTTTATTTAATGAGTGATGTGCGTGAAAACCTAAGAAACAAATAAAGATTTTATACATATACAAGAATGATTCAAGAAACATTTTATTACATTTTGGATTTAGTGAAAAACCGTTTGATGAAAAATTGGGGCAATTGGCATAAACAACCAATCCTTCCAGAAGAAAGACTTGTTGTCACCATTCGGTAAGTACGAAACAAATAATTTTAGCGCTTAGTTAATAAAAGATAAAGTTATTAGATTTATAAAAAGATTATAACTTAGATTGATTTAATCTAAGGATAATAATTCAAATACAAATTATTTATTATTCGGACCAGCGCGTGTCGGCGCTTATTATCGGCGCCGGTCCATAGAAAAAGGATCAGCGTCAATAGGCGCCGATCGGCTTTCGGCTTTCTTTCTGTATACGGCCTTACTTCTTGAGTTTTCCTGTTGTCGTGCTGGCTGAATACCAACACTTTTTTATTAGTTTAGTGTATTATTTATTGGTTTTGACGTAATAGGGTATTTGACAAGTTTTAGAAAACGATCTCACTTTATTGACCAATGTTTATGGAGTCCGTAAAAAGTGGATATTCATCATTCTGTTGCATATTTCAGTAAAAATAACCAAATCAAAAATTCCATTTTCAAGTTGCCGCGTAAACGTTTCTCTGGACAATATGGCGTCTTACTAGTGTGTGACGTCACACGACTGTTATCAAAACGTCAAACGATACAATGTTATGTCACTTTTACCGAAAGTTTACTTGCGTGTGACGTCATTTTAGGTTCCGCCAATCCCAAGCGTTTTGGACAATAGATAAGAAAACTATTATCTTTTTCGTAGGTTTTAAGTAAAATTATGATTTTTTTTTTGTAAAAATAGTAAAAACCCCTGCCAATAATAATTCTAAACACAGATGCTAACAATTGGCATTTTATTTTTAATTCTGTCAAATACCCTATTATTGTAATTGGTATTTCCGTAATAATTAAAGTAAAAAATAAATAAAAACAATCCTTTAAGGAAATGAGAAGGGGGGTCGAAGTTTCTATGGGAAACAACAAATAGAAGTAAATATGGACACTCTCTCGTAAATAATTTGTCAATGGTGTCGATTCTAACATGATTATCTAAACTTAAAACTAAATTTAAGATCAGTCTCTCCTTTTCATTTTGTATGGAGAATGAAATGTATCATCACAGTGTATCCTACACTGTTGTCAAATTTAAGTTTAGATTTAGAGAATCATGCCATAGGGATGATGACGGGGTACAGTAAACGAAATTCTATTTAGTCCGTCAGTTAGATGATCAAAAAATAATGGACACGTATTTTTTCTTTGGGCAATCAACCAAAAAATGACAAAGTTATAGCGCGTCAAAGTTTGGGAGTAGGGGCTCGTGACGTCACGTTTGAGTACACTTATTAGTGAAAATTCACTCAAAAGTGACGTCACGAGCCCCTACTCCCAAACTTTGACGCGCTATAACTTTTGTTATTTTTTGGTTGATTGCCCAAAGAACAAATACGTGTCCATTATTTATTGATAATCTACCTGATAAACGAAGAAAAAAAAATTAGTCATCATCCCTAAAATAGTGTTTATCGCAATGTACATGTTTTAAACTTATTAAAATAACCTTAGGGCTTGCGCTGTGTTTAACACAGAACAAGCCGTTAGGTAGGCTTCTTAGAGTAGTTATTATCGGTGTCCCTTAGGGAATTCTACGCCCATATTTCTTTTTAAAAAATCTTACAATATGAAGACTTATTTTGCTTTCTCAAATGTTTTTTTGACTAGTAATCTGTGGTCATCAAGGTATCACAAATTTATTTCCTTTTTTTTATCAATATATTGTGAATTTTATGTAGTGTGAAATAAAGCTCAAGTCATTTAAAGATAGACAGTTTAGGGTAAACAGATTTGTGGCTGTCTGTCTGTATTAAATTTTATTTTAGTTTAATGGCTTCTTTTTCTTTAATTAAAACACAAGATTCCAACAAAAATAGAATATAATTCTACTTGTAGGTAACAACTGTAACAAAAATCAAGAACAGAATCTTACACAATTATGGCATACAGAGTATTTAATATTTTTCGGGCTTATTTAACAGTTTACTTATAATATACATCAAATCATCTTTTTGACAATGGCAACCTTTTTTCTTTTAACATCAAATCATCTTTTTGACAATGGAAACCTTTTTCCTTTTGCCTTCCCCGTCTTCATCAACAACTAGTCCTTCAAAATCACTAGTAATACTTTTAATGCAGCACACTTCATCCTTAGTCAATCCTGTTGGCAAATCAAACTTGGCGTATTCCTCCCTTCCCGCCAAATCGAGGCACATATCGCGGACGCCATTTTGAAAGACCTCATCTACGTCATAGACAACTTTTTCTTTTTTCGGCTCCGCCTTGAAAGCGGTTTGCCACAACTCTTTTTCTTTCTGTGTCGAGTTTTTCACGTAGTCATCCAGACCGGCCAGAGTTTTTCCGATCTCCCTATTCTTTGGTTCTAGTTTCAAAGCCTTCTTATAATATTTTAACGCTAATTCATGCTTCCCTAACATTTCATGAGCTTTGCCACAATAAAACAATGCCTTGCAATGGTTATCTAAATTGCTTATTCTATCAATGTTGTCGCACATAAGGAACACATACTTTGGCTTATCTATTTTGCAGTAACACACTGCTAAGTTCGTATACACTGTCACTTTCAACTTTTTGATTTCCGCTTCCTCATTTTCGTCTTTGGGCATAGACAAGCCGAGCACGTTCATGGATTGTTGGTAGTTCTTGATCGCTTTCTTGTATCTCTTCTTGGCGAAGAGGGACTTCGCTTCGGAATGTAGCACCTTCACCGTTTTGATTGTTGTCTCGAATTTTGATTGCTCCTCCATTGGGAGATCGTTGAACCTGGCAATTAAATTAATTAAACAGTAAATCTAGCTATTGAACACGTAATTTACATATGGCATTCGTGTGTAGTTGGGGCTTGGGTACACCCAATTTGTTGATGAAGTTAATTAGAAATATTTGATTATACAGAATCTCCCTTGACAGAGCACGACTGAAATGAGGTGAACAAAATTTAAAAATGTAAAAAGCAAAACCATTTATTAATTTGTAATCATGTCTTCATTATTAAGTGGAAATTTGACCAACTCACAAATGTGACCAATTGTGAAAAAAACACGAAATCAGTGTCACTGATGAAACTGATGAATTGAAAACCTTTATTTTAAATAGGTCAATAAAAAAGATCCTTTATCGTCGTACAGGGATATAACGAACAGGGCCGGCTCGGGGCGCACTCGGGGCGGAGCCCCAAGCCAGGCGCGGCTGCAGGACCCAGTGGAAGCGGACGGTGGGACTCCGGACTGCAGTTAATCCTATCTCTAGACATGGAAGTAAACCCTAGTATCCCATAAGACGAACATTGACAATCCCAGTAACCAATAATACGGGCCTTGGCGATCTTAGTATTCCATAACACAAACCTTATAGTAATATAATTTTTTTACGAGATTGTTACCATGTACCTTGTTTTTAGCGAGTTTCCGATATTTCGGCACTGTTGCAAGCGCCATGATCACGGAGTAACATGATAACAATCACGTAAATAACTTATATTACTATAATGTTAGTGACCATGAAAGTTTAAAACAACACAAACTTTGGGATCAGGCTCATTGGTGTGAGTGTTAAAAAATATGTTTAATAGTACTGACGATTTGAAAACCTCCTTAAAAAGTGACAACGCTACTGACCAACTGAAAACCTGTTTTTTTAAATCGATTATTAATGGACTTTTCACGCCTCTCACCTAGTAGCTGCAATTCAAGGAGATTATACAGACCTCTCCTTACCTAGTAGCTTGAATTGAAAATTACCTTCTTTTTGAAGTCGGCTAATAAGATTATTTTTAGGCCTCATCTACATAGTAGCTGCAAATTAAATAATATTTTTGAAGTCTCACCTAATAGCCGCATGCACGTCCTTAACATCGTATAAGGATATGACGAACAGGGCCGGCTCGGGGCGCACGCGGGGCGGGGCGCCGCGCGGGCCCCACGCCAGGCGCGGCTGCAGGAGCAAGTGGAAGCGGGCGCTGGGGCCCCGAACTGTGGTCAGACCTATCTCTAGCCCTGGCAGGCAACGACCCGTGCCTAGTTTAATTGTCTAGACAAAAATATTTATAAAAAAAAGTTAGTCTTATGCTCCCATACAAAAGTGTTTTAAGAAATTTGTGTCATACATGTGAAACCAGACATATATATTATACCTTAAATAAATATTATGGTATATATTATTATAGTTATCATAAATATTATTGTTATAAAATTTTGATATATTTATAATCAGTTAAAAAGAAAGATCAAAATGTAACTCAAAAATGTACCTTCCTTGCTGCGAGATTTTCTGACACTTACAAGCATTAATATACTTCAAAGGAGATTGCAACCCTATTTCATGTCAATATTTTTAAAGTAACAATAATTATAACATTAACATAACAATTTTTAATATTAATTTTTCATACAAACATCCATGCATTTAAATGATAATTTCTGGGATTAACACTACCCTATGTTCTTTCCCGGAACTCAAACTATCTTTGAATCTTTATTCTAATCGGTTCAGCCCTAAGTGAATATGGAAACGAGCTTTACTCACAATGGGAGCTCCAGAGTTCATTGTCAGTGTTGAGTCGAAAGGAATCTTGGTTTTCTCCCAGTAAGCAGCATAGTGAACGGTCACCACAGCATCCACGGGAACTAATGGACCGTTACCTAAAAATAATACAAAAATAAAATAAACCTAAGGAAAATGTTACTAGAAAAAAAATACACGTGGACCAGGCAGCAGACGGGACTCGCACCAGCACCCTTCGCTATCCGGGCGAATGCAATGACCATTATGCTACCGCGGCCATGACGGCCGTGTCGAATTCTTTCTAACCTTTCTTAAGCTGCAAGGCAGCGCCATCTCTTCGCATTGAAGGTAACCAACAACTAGGTACAATCTGGATGCGCGGCGATTCGGAGACGGGTTCCGCGACCACACCCGCCCTCTCGGCATGCACTAGGGGGACCGCGGTCCTCATAGTGCGTGTCGGGTGACCCGCGACCACACCCGCCCTCTCGGCATGCACTAGGGGGACCGCGGTCCTCATAGTGCGTGTCGGGTGACCCGCGACCACACCCGCCCTCTCGGCATGCACTAGGGGGACCGCGGTCCTCATAGTGCGTGTCGGGTGACGGTGCAGGAGTATTGTCTGGTTTTTAGTGGCCCTGTTCAGGGCGTAGGTAGGGCCCTGTTCAGGGCGTAGGTAGGGCCCTGTTCACATGAGCGAGCTCCAGGGCTGGCTGAAGAGGACAGGGAGGAGTCCCACATACCTTCTTCTCGCTCCCCCAGTGGTTAAAGGATGCGAAAGGCATTTTCCAGACACAAAAAAAAAAGGTACAATCTGGATAGATAGACGCCAGTCTTTAAAATTAGCTTAACAGGCCATCAAATACAATGTGCCACAAAATAAGTTAACGTAAGAGTCATTTTGATACAGATGAGTCCTACATTGATGTCTTTTTTCAACTTCGGTTGTTATGTCATACATTAAAAAAAATATGGTGAAATGAAAAAAATGCTCTGGTTTTGGTTAACGCAATCAATATTTTAATCAAGATATCAAAATTTTAATTACAGCCATCGATAGAACGTCAGTAATAACAATAACTTAATTTCGTAATTTTGGCGGTCACGTTAATTCATGTTACCGGTGACAATATATGTAAAAGAAATTTTACCCAAAGAATAATAAGTAATTGTACTATGCTTCTATGTTTTGCTTTATTTGTAAAATTTTTAAATTTCCACACCACACGTCTTTAGTGGTGATAAAAATTTGTTTATTTTTGTAATTTTTAAGGGCTTCTTGTATCTTTGAAACACAAGTTATCGAAAAAAAAATATATAGGAGCAATATATTTTTTTTTAAATATATAGGAGCATAGAATGAGTAAAATTATATTTTATTTATTAAATCAATTGTTTAGTAATAAAAATCAAAGAGGAATCAGTCGAGAATGTATGTATGGAAAATACATTGCCCGCCTCCCCTCTTAAGCAGAAAGCGTCCTGTGAGCATTTTTGAAGCTGGAAGACCAATGTTAAAGTATGATTGTTAGACAGTGACCATGGGTAATTTTTTGGGATCAAACAAAATCAACTTTAACATAGCTAGGTATAACAAAATTTCACTCCCTTTCTAAAATAACCGCTGGTCGCTTTCACATAAACAACATTAAATTATGTTATTCCCTATTACAAGTTACATTTATATTCATACCTTCTTCAATGATCAATATTTTCGCATCACCGCTAGGAACACAGTCCACCATTTTCGTAGCCAGTTCGCTGAACGACAAGTATTCCGGGGAGGATAGCATAAGTTTATCAGTGGAGTCTTCTATGTTCTTAAGTATGTCTTCTATATCACTGAATGTCAAGAAAAAAAGAAAAATAATTTAAGTTGCAAGACTTGTAGGCTTGTTACCTACAATGTCAAATGAATAGGTTTACATGTATTAAATATTTAAAAGAAGAAATAGCAATTATAGTCATATTTTATTTTTAAGCATTTAACTGCTGTGTAAATCTAAACAAAAAGTTACTAGAAAAAAATCAATGCAGACCAGGTAACAGACGGGAGTCGAACCTGTACTGACCATTACTACTGTGGATCATGCTATTCGCAAGTGGAATTCTTTACCCGAACACATGTTCCCTCCTTCCTAAAATCTGGGGTCCCTTAAAAGAGGCATGAAGAAGCATTTCTGCAGGCATACAAGGTGAGGATGGTTGGTGTGGCAGTTTATAAGTGCTGCACTAGCTATCTTCGCGTCTGAACTTTACCACCACTTAACATCAGGTTGGGTCGCAGTCATTCGCTATAAAAAAAAGATAGAACTATGTAACAATAATGGCCCAACTATGACATGATTCCATAAACCTAAAATGAATATTAACAACCATAGTATCACTCATTCCTTACCTACTGAAATTCTATCCCTTAACCCGTGGATCTCTGAAACCTTATTATAAGAAAGAGGCGCAGCACTACCATAAAATCTAAATCCTTTCAGACATATATATAACACAAGCCTTGCAGTGCTTACTTTGCGGCTAGGATAATTGGTGTGACTAATAGGGTATTTGCTAGTTTTAGAAAACAATCTCACGTTATTGACTAAGGTTTATGAAATCAATACAAAGTGGATATTCATAATTCTGTTGTGTATTTTAGTAAAGATAACCAAATCAAAAACTCCATTTTCAAGTAACAGCGAAAACATTCCTCTGGACAATATGGCGTCTTACTAGTGTGTGATGTCACACGACTGTTATTAAAAAGTCAAACGATACATTGTAATGTCACTTTAACCTGAAGTTTACTTGCTTATTATTTGTTTATTATCTTTTTCGTGGGTTTGTAGTAAAATTATGAATATTTTTTTTGTAAAAATAGTAAAATCCCCTGCCAATATTCATTCTAAACACAGATGCGATAAGAATTGGCACTTAATTTTTAATACTGTCAAATACCCTATTGGTGTGTGCGTATGGGAAATATTATTATTTTTATATCATCATTATCAACCTATTAATGACCCCACTGCAGAGTCACAGACAGTGCGGATTAGTTGGTGCTAACAACTGTAGATGCAGCCAGAACCAATGGCTTAACATTACTTTCAAAGCAAGGAGGATCTTGAGATAATAATTTTTTTTGGTCAGTTTTGTACGAAAGTTGCTTATCTTCTACAAACGCAGGCCGAACGGGGTCACCACCTTTGCCATCATCAATTCCTTTTCAGATATAATATTCTCTTATTTTTACACATTCCGATCCTAGAAATACAAAAATAGGTTTCACCTGTCCTCCCCATCGTCAATTTCAGGGAACGGGTCATCATCCAATAGCACATCAGATTTTCTTTTGAAATCCATATCAATGTGAAACTCTGTAGCAGAAGTCATCAGTTCTCTGCAAATCAGACAATAATATTTATATTGCAAGAGCATAATTTTAATACTCCATTAAATTTATAACTAAAGCCATAATAAACTAATAAAAAAAAACACTAAACTTTAATTTAGTTTTTTTTTTAAATAGGTGTATTTTGGTAGGTCCATAATTTTCTTATTTTAAACATACAAAAAGATTAAAATTAAAAAGGGAAAAATATTATCAAATAAATTACATTACAGTTCACAATAGTTGTAGTTCCTACAAAATGTTTAAAGTGTGAAGTTTTAATATTTATGACATTGTACCTTAAATTTATTCCCTTGGAGAATTGGACGGGATCCTTGAAAACTTCATCCATTTTTGGTTTCTTATAAAAAACTTTTAGTCTTTTCTTTGCAAATATAATATTTTTATTTACAGTCACAGATAGCGTACTTTATATGAGCATAGACTTAAAAATAACCTACGTTCAGGGCTGCCAGATCAAAAATCCGACTGAGCGCTAAAACGATATATAAAAAAGCGCTTAATTAAGCGATAAATTTATTTCATTTTTTTTTAATAAAACTAAAAAATTAAATAAATATATAAAAATAAAAAACGTCAAAATAAATATATTTAATCTTAATTCAAAAATAATCTTCTATAGCTTAAATAGGGCCAGCCATAATGAATGAATGGCTATTCATGTATTTTTTGTCTAAAAATATTTTTCATATAAATCCCAATCCGAATCTGTCGCAGAATGTTTATCTACATGATTTCTTTTTAACTTCCAGCAAAATTTAAACATGAATGAATGAAAACAAAACCATGAACCAATGGAAGCAATATTACTACATATCCATCGTGTTGTGTTGTGACGCATCACACAGTTTCACACTTTCGATCGGGCCCTTAAAATTGGGTACTAGTTACTTGTTGATTCGGACCATATGACTCCGTACGGGTACGGCCACAGTGCACGCAGATTCAGATTCAGACTCAGAAAACAAGCGCGAGAAATAAACAATATAGTTAAAGTAGGGTGGCCATAGTGGCAGCATGCAACTATTTGCCCGCGCAGGTTTCGGAGTCAGACACTTTACCGGAATGTTTAGGTCATTCAGATTCTGAATTCACCAGCGCCGCTCAGACTGCAGGTAGGGTTGCCAACCCTCCTATAAAAAAATATAGTGGTGTCAATTCTGGCGTGATTCTCTAAACTTAAAACTAAATTTAACATCAGTCTCACCTTTTCATTCTGTATAGAGAAGGACAAGGATGCACTGTTGTCAAATTTAAGTTTAGCTTTAGAGAATCATGCCAGAATCGACATCATTATCCTACTTTAATAGGGGATCAAATACTATATTTCTAAAAAATATGTAGTAGGCGAAACTACTATATTTTGTTTAAAGCATAATTTTGTCAGTAAAAGCTTTCTTAAAAAATATTAGAGATTGTTATTATAATATTAGTAAGACAAAAAGCAACAAAAATATATTTATTTCAAAAATAAAGTAAATATTATAACCACATATTGACAACAGTGCATCCTTGCCATTCTCTATACAGAATGAAAAAGGGAGACTGATGTTAATTCTTCATCATGTGAGGTTCAACTTGACTTGAAGCTATTCGTGTTTCCATGGACGTAGTAAAGATGGATAGTGCGTAAGTAAGTAAATGTTATTCTTTGCCATCAAAACATCAAATTGAAAAAAAAAATGTCAACCCCGTCCGTCACGATTTGTCATTTTTTCAGTTTTTTCGTTTCGTCCCTTCCCTTCGCCAGGGTTCCCAACTTAGGGGTTTTACCCCCAGATTTAGGGGCTAGAAGGGTTAAAACGGACTTTTTTAGGGGCTGGAATTTTTTGGGGGTTCTTTTAGGGGCTTTTAACAAAATTTTCAATTAAATCGAAAAACAAAGTGTGTTTTTTCTTTCAGTTTTGTGCGTCGAATGGAACGCACCACGATATGAAACGACTGAACTCACTGTGTGGCAGGTTGTTTCCTAAGGCTGTATGGACTAAAGTTCTTTGCCTTCCACCAATCAAAACAGCTAAATAAGATTTAACAGCCTGTCAGCTCATTTTCCTTTGATTTTCCATTCGGAAAATGTATTTATTCAATAAAATAATTTACTGTAACTAACTATGTAACTTTTAAATTTATGAGCAACGAAAGAATTTAGGTAATAAGATAAGAAGGTACATATAAATTTTTATATTTAGGGGATTTTAGGGGAATTTAAAAAATACTTAGGGTAAAATTTTGGTAAGGGTTGGTAACACTGCCCTTCGCCGACTTCACTTCCGAATTTTCCCTTGCGCGTTACTTTCGTTTCGTGTTCGTTGCAATTTTGATTTGAAAGTACCTACTTGTTGCAGTTTATCAAACAATTTATTTGCAGTTTTTTGGTGAGTGAGTCTTTATTTCATTATGAAAAGCTATTAGATCTAATATTCAGTTTGAAGTTTATGGTTATTCAAATTGGGATCACGGTTTTATTTCCTACATACTAGAGCCCAGCGATTAATAAGTTTTAACTCTGTCTGACGTTATTATGAATCATTCTTACCAAAGTATCCATGATAACTATTTAAAAATTTACAACAAAACCCGAGAAAACTGCGTCTCAGAACTTGTTTGGAAGTCCAAACAAGGCTCTAGTATGTAGGAGATAAAACCGTGAGTTTTGGCTAAAATGTACTTTCAGGGCCCTAGGTTAGGTTAGTGTTGTGATTGTGGCGAAGCGCCAGTTTTTTTTAAAAGAGACATTTTCTACAAAGATGTTCGAGTATCACCTCTTGGGCCTTGGGAAGTACAGTTTTACCAAGTGTGTAACAGGAAATCGCGAAAGCGCGCGCTATTTGATTTTAGTACGTAATGTTTCCTTTGGCTTGGCTGGCTTATTCCTTTTGTAGTAGGTTTTGTTTCTTTTTTTACTAGTATAAGATGAAGTTTCAAATGTTACACATCATACGCGACTACTGTACGGCTCGCTCGTTTTTTTATCAGCCTTTCATGTAAGACTATCCGTTCCAGTTTTCTTAGTAAAGCGATAGTATTAAAAAGAGTTTTGTTTATTGTATTTTTGCTTGATTCTGTTAGCATTATTGTTTCTTGGCACTCGCCCTTCAGTGTAAATCAGAGCCAAGTTTAAGGCAAGGCCGGTGGGGTTGTGACCTCCACAACAGAATTAAAAAAAAAACTGGTCCACCAAGAAACAAGTCATAAACTAGTTTTGTACAAAAGTTGTAGACGCCATACACAATTAATACTTGGTGTGGTTGTTTCAAACATTTTTTCGTTTCCACTGCATAGACAACTAGTATCTTGACAAGTATTAAATTACTCATTTACTTCACATATTTTGCTTCAACAAGTTTGATACAAGTATTGTATACTACATGTTTTATATATGTACAGTCGAAACCTGATATAACAACATTGAAGGGACCATATAATTTCGGACGTTATGTCGATACTTGTTATAAGCAATATACACAAGTAGTCATATTATTGTCATATTGTATGGTTATAGATAATGACTATAAGCTTGTTTTCAAAAAAATACCTAAAGATGAAATAATAAGTTTAGTACTTAAATTTAAGTACATAGTATATTTTGTTTTGCTGGAAAAAGTAAAATGTTTGGTCGTTATAGCCGATGAATATCGTTATGAACTTTATCAATATTGATTGGAAAGTGTGTTGTGTTCTGAGACTTGCATGATCTATTTGCAGTGTTCTACTCATACCTATATTTCCTCAATCTATATCAAAGTCTATTTATTTTGTATTGATGTTTCTGGTCTGTCTTTGCAAAAAACGCATAACACTTATAAAGAAACCATAAAACAATGCCAATTCAATTAAATTTTTAGTTATTATGTCATCAGTTCATCACTATGTCTCATTTCCTGACGATTTTGCCAATGTCTAGGTTTAAGGAGATAATGAATACGCTGAATCTGTATGGTTTTGGTGATGTGCTGGATGCATCGACTGCAAACATTGAGTATTTGCAACAACACATAGACAGACATTTATGATACCAGGGCATTTAATATTACTCACAGATGACGGGAAAGAGGAGGATTTAATTGTGGTACTACAATTATAGTACAAAACAATGCCTTTCTCTTAATCAAACACTGTAGAAACCATTAATTCAGTACATGCCATATTTTATGCAGAAATCTACATAAAACATAGCAGAGATATGTTATTATTCCTAGAACTCTCTTAGCATGCGCATCCTAGTAATATGATCTATTGCTAGTTTTCATCACTAAATTCTCAAGATACTATGGAATTAGGCAGTTATAGGTAGACCGCTTAGAAGTTCTTAGAACTTAACTAGCATGAGCATCCTAGTAAAATGATGTATCGCTAGTTTTCATCATTAAATTCTAATCATATAAATTTAAAATACTATGGAAATTGGCAGTTATAGGTAGACCGCTTAGAAGAAGCTCGATGGCGCGGGTGGTTAGCGCGTTCGGCTGCGGTCGTTGAAGTTAAGCAGCTTCGCAGTGGTCGGTCTTTGGATGGGTCACCAAAAATCTTCTATCTCGAGTCTCTGTGCTTCGGAAGGCACGTTAAGCCGTTGGTCCCGGCTGCATCTGCAGTCGTTAGCACCTGCCAATGCGCACTGGGCCCGCGTGGTGATCTCCCTATTCCATCCATAGGAAAGGCCTGTGCCTGTGCGTGTTAATGTGTATCGTGGTGCTCATGCTACAGGGACTGTACCCATCCAACATAATAAAATTGAACTAATTTTTTTTTTCCAGTAAAATGGCTGAACCGCATCCGAATCAAATAATCACCTGCCCCTACAACAAAGCTCATCAAGTTGAGCATTACCGAATGCATATCCACCTGCAGAAATGTCGGAAGCAACACCCAAACTGTAATAAAGCCACATGTCCGATAGATTCTACGCATGTCATCAATGACGTTGAGCTAGATGTGAGTATATGAAAGTTTACCCCCCACGACAACGGCTCACTAGAGTCGAGGTCCGATACTCAGAGACCTCCTCTACCTCTAGTTGAGCCGACCTCATCATCGAGTGGTCTAGAGGCTAGAGAGGAGAATCACCCTGTGGGGAGAAGCCATCCGCCTGGAATACCTCTAGAGGCACTCGCCATTTCTCGGCTTGAGGTCCCCTTAGGATCTCGCTGTCCCCAAACTCGTTGATGCTGTAAAGGTCACCTGCGACCAGCAGCATACACGCTCAAAATAAAATGTTTTTTTTTTCGATCCTTAGTTTAATACACCAAAACAGAGAAATGCATTGAAAGCGATTAAGAAAACAATTACATACAACATTTGCCTAAACAAGGTTTGAAACTGTGTCTATCTTTTTTGTAGTAAGACTGTATATCTCTAACCTCTCTTTTGAATATACTGAAAGCTGGTATTATGATGTTGTTTATTGAATAACTAGCGG